GAAAATTTCATCAGCGCAGAAAGCATTTTGGCCAACTGTGTGGACTCTCTAAAAAAACAATTCGACAACAACGAAATTACATGCATAAAGCGCCTTTCCCATCGGGCGGACAAGGCGCTGGACAATCAGTGTTTCGCACCCGAGCTGGGGGTGGGGATCGGGGAGGGTAGTGAGGGGGGTAGGATGGTGCTCGAAGGCACAGTAGAATAGGAGGGTCTTGAGATGGGTCTTGAAGGAGGCGAGGGAGGGGGCGAGGCGGAGGGACTACGGGATGGAGTTCCAGAGGTTGGCGGCAGAGTGGCAGAAGGCCCTCCCGCCCAATGGTGGGGCGGGCGAGGAGGGATTGAAGCAGGCCAGAGCCCGCTGAGCGAAGGGAGCAGGCAGGATAGTAGGGGGTTTTGGAGGTCGGAGAGGTAGGGGGGGGAGCAAGGCAATGTAGGGCTTTGATGGTGAGGACCAGGATCTTGAACTGTATCCTCCGTGTGATGGGGAGCCAGTGGAGTCGGGCGAGGGTGGGGCTGATAGGGTCACGGAGCACTGGTGCGGGAGAGGACATGGGTTGCAGAGTTCTGGATGATCCACAGCCTGGGGTGGGAGGAGTTGGGGAGGCCGACAAGCAATGAGTTTGCGTAGTCGAGCCTGGACGCTATGAAGGCGTGTGTGAGGGTCTCGGGGGCCTGCGGTGTGAGACAGTGGCGGAGCCGGGCAACGTTGCGGAGGTGGGGGAAGGCAGAGCGGGTCGTGGAGCGGATGTGGGGAGGAAAGGAGAGTTGATAAGAACATCAACAAACTGCATTTCGCTTCAGAAAGACCTCCCAAGGAGTGGGTCGGTTGCTGGAGTAAGGTCTTCAAGGGCCAAACTAGCACATGAGCTGGCACCCAGCATACGGTCAGAGGTTTGGACCTGCCACCTGCCCATCATTGCACCTGTTCAGTTAGACATTAAAGCTGAACAAGGAATTTGTTCCCAATTCACCAGTAAAACCAGATCAGCCTCTTACCTCATGTCCCGGGTCAATAGAAAAGGGCGGCCGCACTTTCCTCACGGAACCCACTGCAAACCCGCTAAACACCAGGTTCCTGGCCCACGGGCCACTCGCTGTTTATCTGACGTCACTGTGGGTGGGTGGGTGGGTGGGTGGGGGGAGGGCTCCGGACGGGCATGCGTGGAGCGGCGCAAGCGGGAAATGGGCTTCACTCGGAGCCGCCGCTGATGAGATTGTCTGTCTCTCTCTCGCTGTGTGAGTGTGTATCTGTGTGGGTGTGTCTGTGTGAGTGTGTGCGTGTCTCTGTGTGTGTGTCTGTATGTGCCTGTGAGAGTGTGTGTGTGTGAGTGTATGTCTGTGTGTGTAAGTGTGTCTGTTGTTTGTGAGTGTCTCTATGTGTGGGTCTATATGTGTCTGTGTGTGTCTGTGAGTGCCTCTGTGTGTGTGTCTGCGAGTATGTGTCTGTGTGCGTTTGTATCTCTATGTGTGTCTGTGTGTGTTTGTGTGTGTCTGTGAGTATGTGTTTGTGTCTCTTTGTGTGTGTCTGTGTGTGAGTATCTCTATGTGCGTGTTTGCGTGTATCTGTATGTGTTTGTGTCTCTATGTGTGTGTCTGTGTGTTTGTGTCTGTGAGTGTCTGTGTGTGTTTGTGAGTGTTTGTGAGTGTGAGTGTGGGGTGTTGCTGGCACAGATTTGCTGCCGGCTTTGCCTTCACAGCAAACCATTTCAAAGCTATGCTTTCTAATGCAGCGATCGGTAAGTGTATAAATCAGGAACATCTTATACATAATAATAATAATAATCCTTGCACTTGATATAGCGCTTTTCACAGCTTCTCGACGTCTCAAAGCGCTTCATAGAATATACTGTAAAGTGAATTGACTGTATATTTGTGGGCGAAATGCGGCAGCCAATTGCGCACAGCAGTGTCCCGCAAACAGTCGTGAATTGAAATGACCAATTTATTATTGGTTTTATTTGAGGGATTATCAGGTGCGTGAAGTAAGGAAACTTGCCCAAGATTTCTCCCTGCCGGAAATCGAACCCAGGTCTCTCGCTTGCAAAGCGAGTGCTCTAACCACTGAACTACAGGACTACATTAGAATCCATTAGAATATACAGCACAGAAACTGGTCTATGGCAGTGTTTATGCTCTACATGAGCCCCCTTCTGCCCTTCCTCAACTAAGCCTTCAAGCATAACCTTCTATCCTTTCTCCCTCATGTACCTCTCTAGCTTCCCCTTAAATACATCTATGCTATTTGCCTCAACAACTCCTTGTGGTAGTACGTTCCACATTCCCATTACTCTCTGTGTAACGTCCCTATTTGACCTATTTGTGACTACTTTGTATTGATGGCCACTGGTTTTGGTCTCCCCCACAAGTGGAAACATCTTCCCTATGTCTACCCTATCAAAACCTTTCATCATTTTAAAGACCTCTATCAGGTCACCCCTTACCTAGATGATACAATCTTAAAGGGGGCCAATGAACAGAGAGACCTGGGGGTCCACATAAGCAAATCTCTGAAGCTGGCAGGACAGATAAAGCTGTTAAAAAAGCATACGGGTTTTATAAATAGGGGCATAGAATTCAAAAGTCAGTACCCCTAGGTCCCTTTGCTCCTCTACCCCATTTAGGTTTTTATTTTCCAGGAAGTATGTGACTTCCTTATTCCTTTACCAAAATGTCCCACCTCAGACTTTTCTACATTGAAATACCTTTGCCATTTAAATGCCCATTCAGCAAGTTTATGAATGTCTTGCTGTAATTTGTTGCAGTCTCCTCTGTATTAACTGTCTACTGTCCACCCCCTGCCAGTCTGAGTAGCTACCCTTTACCCCTACTCTGTTCTGTTTTGTAATCCGCTGTACCATTTTGCTATTTTCCCTCTAATTCCACATGTTGTTGCTGTTGTTGCTCTGACCTTATTCATTAGTCTATTGTGTGGTACCTTATCGAACTCCTTTTAGAAATCTAAATATATTACATCTACCGCATGACCCTTGCTATTCTTTCTGATACCCCTTCAAAGAATTCAATGAGGTTGGTCAAGCATGACCTACATTATAAAGCGACCAAAGATTATAATATCCCACAGATCCTCAGGTGTCAGCATGTTATAATAATAATCCTTGCATTTGATATAGCGCCTTTTCACATCTTCGAGGTGTCTCAAAGCGCTTCACGGAATGAATATACTGGGAAAGTGAATCGAGTGTATATGTTGTGGGCGAAACCTGGAAGCTAATTGTGCACAGCAGCGTCCCACAAACCGTTCACACGAGTGACCACATGTGGAGTAAGGAAACTTGCCCGAGGCTTCGCCCGGCTCGGGAATCGCACCCAGGTTCTCCCGCTTGCTCTAATCGCTAAGCCACAAGGCATACAGCGCATCAAATGTCCAGTACAATGTACGGACGATATTGCCCCCGCCCCGTTTGCTCAGTGGGCAAGCAGTGCAAGGGACTTGGCACAGTTCACTGAGCTTCCCAGGTTCCATTGACCAGTCTGCACAGAGTTTGCTGATCTCAACAACCAGGCCATTCAGAAAATGTATTCCAACAGCTATCCGATGCCCCGATGGTTTAACGAGAGGCCTGCAAAGGCTGGTCAAATGAGAAAATGTGGTCTGTTGGCTTTCCACCAACCTAATAAAAATAATAATAATCATTGCACTCGATATAGCGCCTTATCACATCTTTCAGACGTCCCAAAGTGCTTCACAGAATATACTGTGAATTAATTGTGTATTTAGTGGGTGAAACGCAGCAGCGTCCCACACACAAGATGGACTGACCAATTTATTATTTATTTTTATTTATTTGAAGGATTACCCCTGGAAAAGCGATCCACCAATTGACAAACAACCAGGTTCCTACTTACTGGTAGGTAAACAGAGGCGTGTGTGTGGAGTAAGGAAACTTGCCCAACATTTCGCCCCGCCCGTCCGGGAATCAAACCCAGGTCTCTTACTTGCGGTGAGTGCTCTAACCACTGACTTACAGGACTCCATTTAAACCTAGTGTTTAAAGAGCAAACATTTGCAGCCCACCATCATAATATGAAAAAAATCTTGAGTGCTGTGGGTAACATAGACACATTTGCCTTCCGGTTGTAAGAGGGCAGCGAAGCTTTACTGAGCAAGTACAGTACAAAGAATAAATTAAGTGATCTAAAAAACAAAACGCATGCACAGGGTTGCCTAGAAGTGGAGAATATCCAACCTATAGAATCCATAAAAAGATTCTTAAAGGAAATTGGATCATTTCTGCCATCCACGAACAACAGGGATCCTATTTACTGCTAGATGAACACAGGCGTGTGGAGTAAGGAAAGATGCCTGAGGTTTTGCTTCGCCTGGGAATCAAACCCGGATGCTCTCGTTCGTGAGGCAAGCGCCCTAACCGCTACACTACAGGAACCCACATTTGATTTCGGGACAGACAGACACAATACAAAATTACATTTACACAGCGCAGGATGTCCCAAGGTGCTGGACAGTCAGGGATTTGGGCCCGAGCTGGGGATTGGGCTCAGGAGGATTGGAGGGCAAGGGGTAGGAGGGCTGCTGAGGAGAGTCTTGAGATGCGCCTTTGAAGGAGGCAAGGGAGGAGGCGAAGTGAAGGGACTGTGGGATGGAGGTCCAGAGGGTGGGGGCACAGAGGCTGAAGGCCCGACCACTGAGGTGGGGGATGTGGAGCAGGCTGGAGCCCGCTGAGCAGAGGGAGGGGACAGGATGATAATAGGCTACAGCAGGTCACTGAGTTCGGAGGGAGTCATTTTGGCTATTTTAGATGACAAACACAAGTGGACAATGTTCAGCTCAGTATTCTGATCGAGATTTCCCTTCTCCCTCTGTGACCAAGAGGTGTATCATTCATCAATCAATCAATCAATCAATCAATCAATCAATCAATCAATCAATCAATCAATCAATCAATCAATCAATCAATCAATCAATCAATCAATCAATCAATCAATCAATCAATCAATCAATCACACTTCAAGGCTGGAGTATACCTTTTTTATTGAAAATTCACATAAGGGGTAAAAATATCTGCAAAAATAACTCAAAATTTGATAGAGAAGAAGGTGAAGCAGGTACACTTTTTTTTCCCTTAACATACCACGAAGTCTGCGGAAAAGCTGGCTCCAATTTCGCTGCCGATGTAGGGTTGTCGAAATCACCCTTCGGTCTGCGTAGAGTCCCTGATCTGCCTTTGCCTCGCCTCTGGGGCAACTCATGAGGCGTACGCTGGTCACACAGTTCAGAAGTGAAAAGAAGAGGAAAGCCTGTTCTGACCCGACCAGGACACCAGAAAATAAGTTGTCCCTCGTCGGTCTGCACATAACAAGTGTTTTTTTTTATATATATATGTACATATATATATTTATATGCAACGCCTCCCTCCGCAAACTCAGGGGGGAGGGTGTGTGTGTGTATGTGTGTATATGTGTGCGTGGGGCCATGTTTCTTCACCCGTCTTTCTCCTGTATCGAAGCTGCTGCCAGCGTTACTGTGGTGACAGGCTGCCCGCCCATGCTGTGGATCTGCATCTTGGCCATCTTCTTCTGTTCGCACTCCGTGACCAGGCGGTTTAGCTCGGCCGCGCTATAGCCGATCAGCGTCTTCAGGTCGCACACAAACTTGTAGACAAACCTTTTCCCCTGGACTTTGCAGATCATGTCGCCGTCGTAATAGTATCTGGAGTCGTGAGTGGGGGGCGGGCGGGGGGAGGGGGGTTGTGGGGGGCAGGAGTGAAACAAGAGTCACCCATTGCGTGTTAGAAACTCAATCACATCTCTATCCCCCAAAGCCCCCTGAGCTGCCCTTCCTCCCTGACAATTAACCTTTATTATTGAATAAAAAATGTTGACTCAGCAGATGAACTGATCGCATGCAGCATTGTGGTTCAGTCCAATCCAATCCCGCTCTGATATATGTGTGTGTGTATATATATATACACACCCACACACACATCACCAGACTAGAGAAACTGGAATTGTTCTCCTTAGAGCAGAGAAGGTTAAGGGGAGATCTAATAGAGGTGTTCAAAATTACAAGGGGTTTTGATAGAGTAGACAGGGAGAAACTTTTTCCACTGGCGGGCGGGTGGGTCGGTAACTAGGGGACATAGATTTAAGATAATTGGCAAAAGAACCAGAGGGGAGATGAAGATAATTTTTTTTTTTTTACACAGAGAGTTGTTACAGTCTGGAATGCACTGCCTGAAAGGATGGTGGAAGCAGATTCAATATCAACTTTCAAAAGGGAATTCGATAGGTATTTGAAAAGGAAACATTTGCAAGGCTGTGAGGTACGTGCGGGGGCAGTGGGAATAATTGGACAGCTCTTCCAAAGAGGTACGAGGGGCCCAACGGCCTCCTTCTGTGCTGTAATATTCTATGATTCTATGATCAGCTCACATTTCTCCTCCTTAACCCAGGTAGCACTGAAGCCAATATAACCACACCCCCCACCCCCCCACCTCCCAGCTGTGGTTGTGAACAGTTAACTTGGCGTAGACTGGTGATCAAACCTGCAACCTTCCATTCTATACTCAACCTTTTCAGCACAATGGGATGTCCTCCCAACGTGAAAGGCGCTGTACAAGTGTCATTTTGTATTGTACTGTACTGTTCAGTGTTACACTGGTGGGCTCTATTGGTCTCTGCAACTGGGGAGCTGTCGGGAAGTGTTGAGTGGGTCCGTGGAATGGGCTCATCCCCACACAGACATAACCTGTGATAAATAAACAGCTTCACTCACCGAAGTGCCCGGCTCAGCTTCTCGTAGTTCATGGTGGGTTTGTTTTTGCGTTGGCCCCATTTCTGGGCCACCAGCTCCGGCTGGTTCAGTTTAAACTCCCCCTCGTCTCCCACCCAGGAAATGCAGTCTCGCGCATCCTTGTCTGTCAGCAGCTCCAAGAGGAATTGCCAGAGCTGAATCTGTCCATTGTTACCTGCAGGCACAGACACAAAACACTCCTATAATAATAATAATAATGTAGCACCTGGAATAGCGCCCTTCACATCGGAAGGATGTCCCAAGGCGCTGGAGTCGGGGGTTTTGGAACCGAGCTGGGAGTTGGGGTTAGGAGCGGCGGAAGGCAGGGAGTGTTCGGGGTTGGGGGTGGGAGGGTGACCGAAGGCACGGTCAAGGAGGAAGGTCTTTAGACGGGACCCGAAGGAGGCAGGAGAGGGCGTGAGACGGAGGGATTGCGGGATAGAGTTCCGTAGTGTGGGGGCAGAGATGCTGAATGCCCGACCACCGATGGTGGGGCGGGAAAACACCAAGAGAAACTGCTTTCTCTTCTTGAATAGTGTCAACGGCAATATATAATAATAATAATCCTTGCATTTGATATAGCGCTTTTCACGTCGGGAGGACGTCCCAAAGCGCTTCACAGAACACACTGTAAAGTGAATTGACTGTATATTTGTGGGCGAACGGCCACCTGGAGGGCAGACAGGACATCAGGTCAACAGTTCTGATGAAAGATCAGCAACCCGAAACGTTAACGCGCTTTCCTTTCTCGCCTGCCTGACCTGACCTGCTGCGTGTTCCCTAACGACGACTGTTTTACAACAGTTTAACTTAACGTCTCACCTTTGATGATGCAGTGCTGCCCAGTGAAGCGACAGAGTAGATAAGAGGCCGATCCCACAAGCTTACCCAGGACCCATCATGCAGGGCTAGGATTTCTAGACCAAGATGCCATTACTAGATCAAGACTTACCCGTCCGGTTTCCAGGTGAACTTCGGTCTTCCCCGGAGATTCGCGGAGCACGTGGCACTTTGGCGGCCTTGGGTGTGCCAGTGAAGACTTTAATAGTTGTTGGGTTTGCTGGTTGCACCGTTGCAGGAATTATTTGAACGGCTGAAAATAGATAAGGCGCTATATCAAATGCGATTATTATTATTATTGTTCAATCAGGGGGAAAAAAAGCAAACCGAGAAACATTAGGTTTCTAATAAACCTCCGCACACCTAATTTTACTAAAACCAAGAACAGTTCGGAACAATCATTGTAAACAAATTACTTTCAGCTGTTTTTCAGAACTATTTCTTTCTCATTATACAGGCATTTCTAAACAAACAGTCTTCCATAGATTGCAAACTGCCAAAAAACATAAAGACACACACACACACACACACAAAGTAAAGTTTCCATTTAGAAATCCCAAACACACCAATAAATCAGAGGTTCTCCTCCTGTGACTGTAGGGCAGTTTTGCTTCAAAGGTGGAGTGACCCTTTGACAACTCACCCACAAAGCCATTTGTATGTATGGGCTGAATGTTATAATAATCCTTGTATTTGATATAGTGCGTTATCACGTCTTTGAGACGTCTCAAAGCGCTTCACAGAATATACCGTAAAGTGACTGACTGCATATTTTGTGGGCGAAGTGCAGCAGCAAACTACGCACAGCAGCGTCCCATAAACAGTCGTGGATCGAATAACCAATTTATTATTTTTTTAAGCCCGGAAAGCGATCTGCCAATCGACTAAGAACCGGGTTCCTACTTACTGCTAGGTAAACAGGAGTGTGAGGAGTAAGAAAACTTGCCCAACATTTCGCCCTGCCGGGAATCGAACCCGGGTCCTCTCGTTTGCAGGTGCTCTAACCACTGAGAAACAAGCCCCTTTAAAGGAAGAGGCTCACAAACTCACTCCTTCGCCAGTATTGGGATTGCTGGGATTGTTACCTGAGAGCAGAGAAGGCTAAGGGGAGATTTAATAGGAGGTGTTCAAAATTATGAGGGGTTTTAATATAGTAGACGGGGAGAAATTGTATCCACTGGCAGACGGGTCAGTATACCAGGGGACACAGATTTAAGATAATTGGCAAAAGAACCTGAGGGGAGGTGAGATGAGGAGAACATTTTTTTTTAAGCACAGAGAGTTATTACGGTCTGGAATGCACTGCCTGAAAGGGTGGTGGAAATAATAGATTCAATAACATTCAAAAGGGAATTGGATAGGTATTTGAAATTTGAAAAATTTCCATGGAGGTTTGGGGAAAGAGCAGGCGAGTGGGACTGATAGGGTAGCTTTTCCACAGAGCTAACACAGGCACGATGGGCCGAATGGCCTCCTTCTGTAATGTAATATTCTATGATTCTAATATTGATATTTTTATCATTTTCCCCCCTTGTTGTTTTTCTTCTCGCTACCTGGGGATTGAATCTAGAACTGTCCCATTTCACAATGGGCAGATGACTTCACCAACTAATTCACTGGGGACCCAGACAAATTGTGATTCTACCCGAGAAATTATCGTAGATATATTCCCGGAGCCCCAAAACGTAATCAGTAAAAGCTCTTCATCTAATAATAAATAATCCTTGCACTTGATATAGGGCCTGATGAAGTCTTCGAGACGTCTCAATAAACCTGCTATGGGACTCTGATTGTGTGAAGAAATAAAAATAAAACAATGTGAAGCTCAGGGTACAGAAAGATTGAATCGAATACTTACGCTGGTCAATTGTTACGGTTGCTATTTCACCTGTGTGCTCCTGGCTGGCCAACACATCTGTATGGTAGGGTAAACAGACGAAGTATATTAATTCAAATCAACAACAACAACACATATTAATCCCGTGCTGGAGAAATACCAGAGCAAATTACACGCCTTAGACATATGCAGTCACCTCCACTAAGACGCTACAAGTACGATCAAGCTCTTCAGCTGTGAAGGGCAGTGTAAATGTGCCCGATAATGTCCACATGCATGTTCCAGGAAGTGATCACTGGACAGAGATTAATAGCAGGCACCTCACTTGACTTGCACATTCCTGGCTCGAAGACATAGAAGCAAATTGTACAGCTCCACACAACTGCACTGGCTGGTACATTCTGGATCAATCCCGATACCCTAATTCTATGTGTGTGTGTCTGTGTGTACTTCATTATTTGGTGACTTTATCCAGTGTGTCACTGGGACGTCTAGACAAAAATCATAGACTTGAGTTTCTGATTTACAAATCGCAAGACATTCTTTGAATAAAAACGGTGCCAACTTTGATGTTGGTTGGCTCAGTTGGTAGCGATCTTGCCTTGGTATCAAGAGGCGGGTGTTCAAACAGTGCACGTGAACTCATTGTCAGTCTAGGCTGACAATCCAGTGAGAGTACGACATTTTTGCTTAAATTTACACAAGACTTGTTAACAGGACGGAGAACAGATCATTCAACCCAACTAGTCCGTGCTGGTATTATACTCCACATGAGTCTCAATCCCTCACAACTTCCTCTATTCTCTTCTCTATGTTAGAGGTGCAGTTCTTCAGGCAAGATGTTAAACCGTTATTTAAACCAGTGCATTAGCTGAAGAGCAGGCCAACATTCCTTCTTCAACCAAATTTCTACAAAAATAGAATGAGCGGTCATTCACTCATTGCCGTTTGAAAGAACAGAAGTATTTGCTAGACGAAAGAAAACCAAGGTTCACCCTCTTCATCTTCCACCTGGCAGTCGCTTGACATGTTGTGTCCTAAACTATATACTCTATTATCCTGAGATATTATTTTCTCGCAACAAAAATCTAACTTGCCCTTGAAACAAACAACATTTTCTGCTTCCACCGTCTCTCTAGGGAGCCTCTTCCATAAGTTAACTATTCGGCGCACTGAAGTAGTATTTCCCGCAGATACGTTCTGAATTTACGCTTCAGTCTGGTTCTACTGTTCAGTACAAAATAAAACAGCTTATCATGGTCTACATTATCTCGTCCATTCAGAATCTTGAAGACCATAATCATATCACCCCTCAACCTTCTCTTCTCGAGTATCAACATGCCCACTTTATCTAATTGCTCCTCGTAGTCCCTTCAATCGTTTTGGTTGCCCTCTTGTGTATCGTCTGAATCACTTGCAATATCCTTTTTATATTTGCGGTAACTAGAACTGCACACAGTATTCCAAGTGTGTTGCCTTAAAACAGATTAATTGATGAATGGGCCCACATAACAGCCTCTGCAGTTCAAAGTAACTCACATTAGAAGTATTTTCAATATTGTAATGCAATTAAGGGAGATGGAGAAAGTGGGCTCTAGAAAAAAAATGGGTAAAATAGGTAACAGTGGCGTATAATATACAATGAGCCCTTTTCAATGTTGAGGTTTTATGTCAAATTCTAATCTCGAAATTTACCATCTCTTTAGAGTAAGAATGAACACTGAACACAGTGGGATTCACTCACACTTTCTGAGCAATTCTAAGTGGCTCCACAGGATCTCTCCCTTTGGTACTCTCTGCAAGAAATCCTCTTGGCTGAGGGAACACAGGTCCTTTCCTGGGAGGTTCAGATCCTTTACGTCCACGTCAATCATGGCAAATTCCTTCATGACCCACACAGCCCAGTGTAACACCTGGTCTGTGGACCACTGAATTGGATCTAAAGAGAATCCCAGAATATAACAACAACAAGATTACATTTCAATTAAGCTCCCAAACACAACCATTTATATTTATATACTGCCTTGCATGTTAGAACATCTGAGAAAAATTTACACAGATGAAGAAGTGCGCAGAGAAAGAGATGACTGAAAGTGTAGCCAAATAATAATAATAATCTCAGCATTTGATATAGCTCCTGATCACATAGTTGAGACGTCTCAAAACATCTTAAATTGACTGTATATTTTGTGGGCGAATGCGGCAGCCAACTGGATACAGCAGTGTCCCACAAACAGTCGTGGATTAAGTGACCAATTTATTTATTTAGTTTTATAGTCAATTCACTTTACAGTATATTCTGTGCTCTGAGACGTCTCAAAGATGCGATAAGGCGCTACATCAAATTCAGGGATTGTTATTATTATTTTATCTACCACTTTTCTCATTCTACCCTCCTAAAGATATTTTGACTTACTTTTTCTTTCTATTGAGTTGAGGTTTAATGGGACCAAATACTTTTGTAACCCAGCACACCGCAGTCTAACATTTTCCATCGTCTTGGCCTTAAGACCATTGTACTAAAATGTTTGATACTGTGATAATTGCCAAAATGTTCTTAAATCCAGTCTTAGTTTAGAAGTCAGTTTTCCACCCTTAAAAAAATAACATGCTTCCAAATTTAAGTACACTGTCAGAGATGCTGGCCTTCAAATTAGTCACTAAAACAAGGTCCCATCTGCCTGCTCGGGAGGAAATCTTGCCCACAATATACAGTCAATCCACTTTACAATATATTCTGTGAAGCGCCTTGAGACGGGATAAGGCGCTATATCAAATACAACGATTATAATAATTATTATTAAGTTCCCATGACACGATTTTCCCAGTGCCCTAGCCAACAAATCTCTACATAAATTGTGCATTCACTCCATGACTGTTTCTGAGACTCTTTGCAGTGCACAAATTGGCTGCCACATTTTCGTACAAATAATAATTACAATACAATACAAAATTTCATTTGTATAACGTTTTTCACGTCAGGAGACGCTGGACAGTCAGGGATTTGGACCCGAGCTGGAAGTCGCTATTGGGGAAGGCGGAAGACAGGGAGTATGGCCGAAGGAGCCGTCGAAGAGGAGGGTTTTGAGACGCGCCTTGAAGGAGGCAAGGGAGGGAGCGAGGCGGAGGGAATGTGGGATGGAGTTCCAAAGGCAGAAAGGCTGAAGGTATACTTCACAATTCCTCATGAAGCTCTCCGAAACATTGCAATGCTATTAAAGCTGTATCGGCTGCAATTATTGATTGATGATTGAAGCTGTTTACCGTATGGGATTCCGAGGTGTTCCTGCTCTTTCCGATAGCCTTCGAGTGCTGCTGCCCATCGCGTCACCTGCTCAGACGTCTCATCGGGGATTGCGGCCAAATGCTTTGTGCCATCTAATGTGATGACTTGTGCTTCCTCTACCAGCTGGGCCTCGGCACCTGCCTGGTGTGCGGAGTCAGGGTCAATCACCACCTCCACCGTCTCAACAGGCTTAACTATCTCTAAGATGTTCAGTTTAGGCTCCACCCCTGCAAGAATGTAAACAGCGGTTAAACAAAAGAGAGATAAAAAAGACTGCAGATGCTGGAAATCTTGAAATAGAAACAAAAGTCACTGGGAACAGTCAGCAGGTCAGGTTGCATCGATGGAAAGAGGATAGCGAGACCTTTTGTCAGAACCTGCTGAGTGTTCCCACCGACTTATGTTAAACAAAGTGAACCAGGTGCTCTATTAATCCGAGTGAAGAGAAAAGAGAGATGACTTTACATTCTGAACATAATTAAACTGAATGGACGACAGCAGTTCCACCATATCTACTAGGTTACGCTCATCAGAAGTGTCAGTCAGTCTGAAGTTTTGTGTTTTATATATATATATATATGTGTGTGTGTTTGTATATATGTGTATAAAGTAATAGTATGCCTGTTAAACACAATACTGGTTGAACTGTGCATGCATTTACTGGAAGCCCGGGCCCGGGCCGACACACAGCCATACTGATGGATGGTCCTGTTGCCTGTAGATTTAGAAACACTGTCTTAATAGGGCGAGCTACAAAGAACATGACTAGACCTCCATTTAAATGGACATATCTGAAGATACAACAACAACTTGCATTTATCTAGCGCCCTCTACGCCGGATGGCTTCCCAGAGCACTTGACAGGCGACTGATACTGTGTTCCCCGGCCATCGAAGGAGGAAGCAAATCCCTGAATTTACCTGATCCATCCTCCACTCCACCTTGAGTGGATCTGTCTAGGCTTACCCGTCCTGAATTCCTGAGGACAGTTTGCAACTCGAGAGAAAGAGGTTTGAGACACTCACCTTGCCTGGAGATGACTTCAACGCTCAGCTGTACAGTGCCATCAGTTTTCACTCCCTGATCAAACAGACTGTGGGTAGGATCGAGCTAAAATGACGTCGGGGGGAAAATGAATCGTCAAACATTGTTTAACTGTTGTCAAAATACTGCAGATGCTGGAAATCTGAAATAAAAACAGAATTCACTTGGAACACGCAGCAGGTCAGGCAGCGTCTATGGAGAGAAGAAAACGAATTATCGTTTCAGGTCTATGACAGAACTTCAGAGTTCTGACGAAAGGTAAACGACCTGAAACGTTAACTCATTTTCCTCTGTCCATAGATGCTGCCTGACCTGCTGCGTGTCCCCAGCCACTTCTGTTTTCATATTATATATTGTTTTTTTTTGTCCATTGTATTAAGGTAGAACCTACAGCAGCCTGGAAGTACAAAGCACGTTTATTTGGAAGCTATGGAAGTACGACAGGTTGCAACAAGCCAGACAACTAATTGTATTCAGCTGGAAACCATCCCCCAGGACTCTTCTGTCAAAGAGTTGGAATTTGTTTTCAAATTGGTCTCAAAAACAAGCTCTGGCTCCAACCCTCGATCCCGCTGGTTAACTAACACCTAGGTAATGCTAGCAAGTCACGCTTAATTCAGCATCTCTGCCCCCACACTCTGGAACTCTATCCCGCAATCCCTCCGCCTCTATCCCGCAAGTCCTTCCTCTTCAACCATGCCTTCGGCTGCCCTCCCACCCCTTGCCCTCCACCCCTCCTGACCCCAACTCGGATCCCAAAACCATGATTGTCCGGCACCCTGGAACATCTTTGACGCGAAGGGCGCTAGCAAAGTAATTTGTGGTGGTTGCTGTTAATTCTTGCAGTTTGCAAATTCTTGAAAAAACAATCTCAGAATATTCCCACCCTCATTTACCCCCTTTGCATTCACTGAATCATAGAAATTTAAGAGAAACAAATGGAAAAGGCAGCCATTCAGCCCACAAACTCTGCACTATCTCTCAAAGTCTCCCTCTCCCACTGCATTCAATCCCATTGACCTACTTTATCCCACAAAGCTTCAAGCCTCCCTCTCCCCTCGCCACCATGTACCCGCATAACCCCGCTTTTATACTATAATCCTTACATTTGATACAGCGTCTTATCACGTCTTCGATACGTCTCAAAGCGTTTCACAGGATACACTGTAAAGTGAATTGACTGTATACTATGTGGACAAAATCCAGCAGCCAATTGCACATTGTTATTAGATCAGTGCTCAGGAGTCCTGTAGCTCAGTGGTTAGAGCACTCGCCTCACAAACGAGAGGACCTGGGTTCGATTCACAGGCGGGCAGGGTAAGTTTCCTTACTCCACATGTCTCTGTTTACCTAGCAGTAAGTAGGAACCCAGTTGTTAGTCAACTGGCGGATCCCTTTTCCGTTGGCAATAATCCCTTTAATTTTTTTTAATAAATTGGTCACTTCAATTCATGACTGTTTGTGGGACGCTGCTGTGTGCAATTGGCTGCCGCATTTCGCCCACAAATATACAGTCAATTCACTTTACAGTATATCCTGTGAAGTGCTTTGAGACGTCTCGAAGACGTGAAAGGCGCTCTATAAATGCAATCTTGTTGTTGTTGTTGATAAGGCGCTGTATCAAATGCAAGGATTATTATTATAATTATCATTCACCCTACCTGAATGTCTTGGAGGCAAATCTCATGCGCTTCCAAAGAACACTGAAGACGTGGCTCCAGCAGCTTCTTGAGGTTTCCGACGGGCTCATTGATATCGATTGACTGGCTCACAAACTCTGCCGTAGTGATGGTGGTCTGTTCCTCAATGCTGAAAGCAAAACAAGTAGCAACAAATACAATTAATGCCGGGTTTGCTTCTATATCAAATCAATAAATGAAGCTTTTAGCATACATTGTTTCTAAAAATGACAATTTTCAATTATTAAACTGGGAGCAACAAACAAATACTGCTATTATGGTTGGCCTTCTCACCTCAGAAGGTTGTGGATTTAAGCACCCAGTTGGGTCTCGAGTCTCCTCACCAGCAAGCCCCACGAAATTTGTTATTCGTTTCATCACTAGCTGGAATGTCATCAAAGACTTAGCGCTCCAAATCCCAATACAAGGGGTTGAACACATAACCTTCCAACCCAGAGGTGAGTGTCCCACTCAAGGAGTCAAGCCTGATACCTATATTAGCTTGGCTCACCTTCGCCCGGGTCCATTGGCTCCCCATGCCCCAGATAAGAGTTGAAAATACTCGCCCTCGCCTTCAAGGCCCTCCACGGCTTTTCTCCTTCCTACCTGTGATCTGCTAACCCCACATCAACTTGCCTGCTCCCTCTGCTCAGCAAGCTCCGGCCTGCTCCATTGGCAGTCAGGCTTTCAGCCTCTCTTGCCTCCTTTAAGGCCCGTCTCAAGACTCTCCTCTTTGACCGCGTCTACGGCCACCCTCCTTCCTGCCTGATCCCAACCTGCAGCCCGGGTCCAAACCCCTGACAGTCCAACACCTTACGACATGACGTGAAAGACTCTATACAAATTGTAATTTCTTGCTGTAGTTATATATTCTGAAAGAGTGAGGGAGAGAAAGTTACCTTTCCTCTGTACAATGCCTCTTCTCCTCACCATCTATTCCTATTTCAATCAACTCCTCTGCTGCTCGCTTCGTCATGGCTGCAGAGTCTGATGCTTCCAATCTGTAGAAACAAAACAAGTAGTAAAATAATCACAGGTTGCGAAGTACACATTGACCAATCAGCAGCGTCCCACAAACAGAAGTGGATTGAGTGACCAGTTTATTATTATTATTTTAAGGAATTATTACCCCCGGAAAAGTGATCCGCCAATCGACTAACAACCGGGTTCCTACTGACCTTCAGGCTTCCTGGCCCCAGCTTTTTGAACTCTATCCCACAATCCCATTGCCTCGCCCCATCCTTTGCCTCCTTTTAAGACCCGTCTCAAGACCTTCTACTTCGACCGCGCCTTCGGTGAACCTCCTACCCCCACCCTCCCAGCAATCCAGCTTCTGATCCCAACCCCAAGCTCGGGTCCAAATCCTTGACTGTCCAGCGCCTTGAGACGTTCTCCCGATGTGAACGGCGCTGTGTAAATGTAATTTGTTGCTGCTGTTGTTCTAAACTTTTTTAGATCTGTTATTGTGATTGTTGGGCAAGTTATATTTATGCCCCTCGTTTCAAATATTTGATTTCCCAGCATTAACATCCTCAATCTTAACCTACATTGAAAATAATTCAGATGTGCCTTTTTAAAAATTCCTGTTCAGACATTTCATAATTTTAAAAGCATAGGTTTAAGATAGAACACATTACATTTTAACATAGAAGGAAGCATTTTAAGCATTGCTTTTTTTGGTATATAAGAATGATAAGTGATCACACTAATACACGATTGTGTGAAAAGTCTGAATGAGCTATAGTGATATAGTACAGCAACCCACACTCTCCTCTAACTAAGCTTTAAGCTTCTACCCAACAAATATTTGGATCTTGTTTGTCTTCCTGTCCTTTTCTGGTGCATTCATCCACACAAAGACACGGTGTGCTCATGTGGGGGGGTGGTGGGGGGTAAGTGTAGGTGGGTAGAGTTATCAATGCTTCCCAGGACAGTTAAGGATATCGACAACAACTTGCATTTATATAGCGCCCTTCACGTGGGGGTAGTGTCCCGGAGCGCTTCGAAGGTGGAATAGTTCAGGTGCGCAAAGAGGTCGAGATGCAAACAAGGAGCAACCCTTGCCTTTTTGAACAGTGGTATGGAAACTTCAGCATCCGCCCATATTGACAGATGGGTCCTCAGTTTAGTATCTCATCTGAAACATGGCACATTTCATCACGTCCCTTTTCAGACGGTGCCCCATTCCAATTAGTGTGGATTATCAGCTCTGTAATGCTCATCAACCAGACTCTCACAGTCACCAATTATCCACGAGTAAGTGAGAGTTCATTTGGAGCACAGAAACCCATCTCCAGAAACCGTGACAGATGAATGGCATTGTGCTTTCTAATTGATGATTTGAGAAAAAAAATTAAGTGGCACGGTTTATGAAGGTTAAAAAGTCCCCTGTTGCATAAATCTATCATCTTGTAGATTATTGATGGATGAACCTCAGCACAACAATAATAATCCTTACATTTAATACAGCGCCTTATCACCTCTTTGAGACGTCTCAAAGCGCTTTGCAGAATATACTGTAAATGAATTGACCGTATATTTTGTGAGCGAAACAATAAACAAATAAATAACGTTTCTTTCATCCAGTTTCTTGTCACATCCCAGTGTGTTAGCACTTCATACCCTGAAGGGGGTGATTTTACACCCTGAGGTTTGCTGACAGTTATGTAGTGAAATGAGGCAGCTCATCTGCATGAAGCAACAACCCACACAGACAGCGATGAGATGAAAACGTGAATAGGGAGTAATGTTGACCAGAGTGGTGCGAGAACTCTGATCTTCATAATAATATAATATAAAAATATAATATATATTATATATTATAAGATAATATAAAATGTTTAATATGATTTGGTCATGTTTGTCAAAAGCAGATCAAGTTTCACCGTGTTGCTGCTGCAGACTAAGTGCCATATTTACCCAGAAGTATTGTTGCATAACAGTCACGACACTTCAAAGTAACTCATTGTACAAAGCATTTTAAATGTTGTGATGTGATGACATACTATATCTCTTTTGAGGTGTATCATTCCAACAGTGAAATTTTGTGCATCGGTGGGCGGATGTGCTAGGTGCCCAAGAGCTGCCTAGATTGTCCATCCGTGCCAGTGGGAAGCATCCCACTGGGAGGGATGGACTCCGCTCCCAGTAGGAAGCATCTAACCAGGAGCGGAGTCCTGTAGCTCAGTGGTTAGAGCAAGCGCGAGAGACCTGGATTTGATTCCCGGGCAGGGCGAAGACGTTAGGTAAATTTCCTTATTCCACACATGCCTCTGTTTACCTAGCAGTAAATAGGAACCTGGTCATGAGACAATTGGCGGATCGCTTTTCCCGGGGTAATAATTTCTTTTAAAAAAAATTGGTCACTCATTCCACGACTGTTTTTGGGACACTGCTGTCCTCAATTGGCTACTGTACTTCGCCCACAAAACATACAGTCAATTCACTTTACAGTATATCCTGTGAAGCGCTTTGAGACATCTCAAAGACTTGATAAGGCGCTATATCAAATGCAAGGATTATTATATTATTATATTCAGTATCCTCACAGGGACCCAGCTGAAATTTCTCGCTTGCTGACTTCAAAAGCCTAGGAATATATCTGTGTGCCAAGACTGTTGTTCATTCTTGTATCCAGTTAAGTAAACACGGACGTGAGTGCTACTGGTAATAAGATGCGTTTGTGTTTTGTGGCTTCTAGGAATGAGTTAATGTAATGTAGTCCTCGCATGAGAATAGCATTTGGCCAGTCAGTAAATGGCATTCAACCATTTCCTGCTTTATGTGTTTTTAAAAATGGAATCTGAGGTCTGTGCAATCTAGAGAGCCGTGCGTCACATCCTGTTTGTGGTGAGATTTGTTTGGTACAGTTCTTGGTGAGGACTGCTGTGTTTTCAACCAAATGTTTTGCTTATTGTGCCCGAAGCAGCTTGTCTTTATAACGATTCTTTCATTTGATGTAAGGCCTATTTTGTGGGACATTGCTGTGCTTGTGCCAGGATAACATATTAACTGCTGGGTTGGCCTACAAATACAGTCATACATATGGGGGGGAAAGATGCAATTTCAATGGGCTACATAGTCAACGAGGGAATGCAGAAATGAGTCATTACACCAAAGCTTCTCAATAGCATACATTCACTACAGTAAAAATCCTCTGAAGCACTTTTGAGATGCCTCAACGACGTGATAAAGCACTATATCAAATGCAAGGATAATTATTAGCACATCAAAACATCTCAAAGTGCTTAAGAGATTTCTGTAGGTGAACACAGCAGCCGATTTGAGCAGCTACCTCAAGTCCACCATCAGCCTCGAAGACGTGATAAGGCGCTATATCAAATGCAAGGATTATCATTATTATTTTACACTTTATGGATGTCGGCCTGACTCAGTTGGTCGCACTCTCACCTCTGAATCGGAAGAGTGTGGGTGAATGCCCACATCGGAACTCTAAGCTGACGCTCCAGTGCATTGTTGGAGGTGTCGTCCTTCAGTTGTGATGTCAAACCAAGTTCCCATCTGTTCAGATGGACGTTAAGGATCCCACCACTACTCGAAAAGAAGGGAGTTACTCCCAGTATCCTGGCCAACAATCCTCCGGATAAAACTAGTCATTCACTTCATGGCTTTTTGTGAGACATAGCTGTGCGCAAATTGACTGTTACATTTCCCTACAAATGCACAATCGTTACGCTTCACAGTAAAATCCAGCAGAGTGCTTTGAAATGGCTCAACGGCAAAGGAAAAGGCTATTTGGCCCATTGACAGCAAATTCAAGAGAAAGCTAGACACAGAGAAAGAAGCAATTGAAGAGTATTAGAAATATTGAATGGTATTCTTCAAACTTCGGGGCAGACCACATTGCTGTTTTCCCGTCTGTTCCTATGTTCTGAACCTGGAAACATTTTTGATGCCAGGTCAGCAGTTCATGCCTGATTGCTGCCAGATGTAAGAAAAGTTCAGTGCTGATAGGTATGGACAGTGGAATGCTGAGGGTATGATAGTCACGGTGTCAGGGATGCCTTAAAATAGTCATAGGTTCACATGTTTTATGCCTTTATATCAATTCTTGTTGTCTCTTCCAGCGTTTTCCCAGTTTCTGTAACTTATTCTGTTTGTCTGCAGCAAATTAATTTTATGACCAACCATCCAGCAATGTTTTCAGAAGGGAGACACACACCCACTTCTATATTGGAATGAGATGTCTGTGGTCAGATCTAAATATTTTGTATTCTAGTGAAAGGTTAAGTAACCCTTGATGCAAAAATAGCTTTTAACTTGTATTGCTCCTCAAATTCCTTTTGCAATTCACCCCAAGTTCACGGGCTGGCGTTACTTTTTTTTCTTTCACAGAAACGGACCTGGAATCTCTTAAATAATTTGTAGAACTGGACAGACTGCAGTGTCGTAGTTGCTTTGTAAGTATGCCGTACAACAGTTTCAGCGCCTTGGGACGTCCTCCTGACGTGAAAGGCGCTTTATAAATGGAATGTTGTTGTTGTTGTATCTGTTCCATGCAATTTTGTTTTTACCAACTTCTCCCTTCCTCTCCTCATGGAGTTCCACTTCCATAGGCATTGACTGGGAGATTCTGGTCCCAAATAACCATGTTTTGAATGTAGGTAGTGTCATAGTTTCAGGGGATTTCCCTTCTCTTTTCCAAGAATGCCATCTTTTAACATCCATTTGAACAGGAGATAGTACCTCAATTTAATGCCACGTTTAAAGCCCTCCATGGCTCCCTACCTCTTCCTCTTAATCCCCTACAAACCTTTCCACTCACTCCACTCAGTGAGCTCCGGCCTGCTTCACGTCCCCCTCCTTGCCTGTCCCACCATTGGCGGGCGTTCAGCCTCTTTGCCCCCACCCTCTGGAAAGTCATCTCACAGTCCCTCCACCTCACCCCCTCCCTTGCCTCCTTCAAGACCCATCTCAATACCCTCTTATTCGACTTCGCCTTCGGTCAACCTCCAACCCTCTCCACCCCTCTTGATCCCAACCCCCAGCTCGAGTGCGGATCCCTGACTCTCCAGCGCCTTGGGACGTTCTGAAAGGTGCTAAACAAATGTAATTTATTGTTGTCATTCCAAAGAACAGCAGCTCTGACAAAGTAATGCTCCCCCAGCACTGAATTGGAGTGTCCGCCCAGACTCAATATGGGTTTGAACTCAGCCTTTCTGACTCGGAGATAAAAGTGTTACCAACTGAGCCAGGCTATCACCCAACACTAAATTGGGAACTGAAAAGCCTTTTTATTTATTTTGAAAGTGGTGCATTTACACAGATTATCGTTGCAGTGTAATGTGACATTGATCCATATTCAACTTGAAGCCAGTTTGAAATACTGGCATGTGAATAGAGAGGAAGATGATCTGGAATGCTATGCTCCATGTGCTTTTTGTTCGGTCCCTTGGTGCATGTCTAATGCATTAAATCTCTGCTAAAAAAAATGCAGAAAGTATGCTCAAATGAATAATGTGCAATATTAATTTGTGTAGGAGATGCTCCTTAAGTTACTACATCAGCACTGCTAATGGTGAATTATAAAATGATTCTTGCTGCTAGTTTTACATTTTACACTTTAAAATGGAAAACTTTGTTGGCACCATTGTGTTGAAATTCTGGGTGATGTGTGCTGATAATGGGGGAAATCACATAAGAGCCAGTATCTCTATGTGGAATGCTTACCAGAATTTTAGCCTTCAGCTAAGTCATAGCAATCAGCATTTGCCCTTTCAGCTTGGATTTTGTAATGTTTTTCTTCCTGGACAGATGGAAATGTTTATGATTCTTATATATATATATAATATTTCTTCCCTTAACTCTTAAAAAGTCTCTTCTCCATGCTTGTGGGGAATAAAACTCAATATTTTGCGTGCCAAATTCTCAGGAAACGTGAGAACTGGTCTGAGAACAGCGACAACAAATTACATTTGTAAAGCACCTTTCACGTCAGGAGGACGTCCCAAGGCACTGGACAAGTCAGGGATCTGTAACCGATCTGGTGATTGGGATCAAGAGGAGTGAAGCGCGGGGATGGTAGGGGTAGGAAGGTGACCGAAGGCAAGGTTGAAGAGGGAGGCGAAGCGGAGGGACTGTGGGATGGAATTCCACAGGGTGGGGACAGAGAGGCTGAAGGTCCGCCTGTCAATGGTGAGTCGGTCAAGGCTGGGTATGCGAAGCAAGAAGGCGAGTAAATATTCAGGATGGTAATCCAGAAACATAGCAACCATGTTGGAAGAACGAAAGAAGCTTTTGAGGTGCCGTAGGATTGTTGAATGTCACTCTTCAAACATAAATCTGACATTTGAGGAATAGGAGCGGGAAGATACAATAATTGGCAGGCACGTTTACAATTATGGAAACCGGGAGGTTAAGGAGGATCCTGAGGTTGGAGCTGGAGTAGGTGAAGTAATAATAATGATAATAATACTTGCATTTGATATAGCGCTTTACCACATCTTCGAGACGTCTCGATGCGCTTCACAGAATGTATTGTAACGTGAATTGACTGTATGTTTTGTGGGCAAAACATGGCAGCCGGGGGTTAAGGTCGAGGGAGTGAGTCCACTGCTGCATGCTACAAAAGTAGAGAGGTGGGGATAAAGAATCTTGTATTTTTTTCTATTTTCATTTTGTCCAGAACTGTAAATAATTGGGTATTTGCTTCTCAAGTTGTCTTAATGATAACTTACCGCTGGGCATCACAAAGGGTGTGTTGTATTTTCATTTTCCCTCCTCGAGATTAAAACAAAATTTGTCATGGCAGAAAACGAATGCTCTAGATTTTCTTTCAGTCCTTGAAGGAAAATCTTGATGGAAGCAACTGAGTTTAATTAAAAAAAACGAATACCCATCGTTAATCAGCTGAATAATTTCCAGTGTCTGCACTCAATTGGAGTGCTTTGGGCAGTTTGCAGTCAGCACATGGGTAGAAGCTGATTAAGTTGGCACAAATAAAACGGAACCGAACATCATAAGGAAAACCTTAAAAGTTAACTCCAATTTGCTAATCGCTACTTCTTTTTAGTCCTTGGTGTCGATAATGATTGGATTGTGCGTGCGGACGGCTCATTTTCTCTCTTTACTTCCCCTCCCCCCCCTTACATTGCGTTTCCTTTCTCTTTCTTGACTTGAGCTGGGGTAAAGTTTGGGGGGGAGGAGGCAATGCCCTCTGGTACCTTGCCATAACAGCTGCTCTTCATATGTCAGCTCAGGCTGAGCGTTGGCAGGTTATTTGACCATGGTTAGAATTGCAGTCCAGTCTAGACAGTCACGTGTTTTCCAGCAAGGGGTCCCCATTGATTAGAAGCTGGAATCCTTAGTGTTTTTTTCACTCTAGCTCGGGGCATTAATGCGAATTGTAGTGTATGTTCCAGTTGCGATAATTTGATATCTGGGTCGCTCCTGTTGAAGAGAAACACAGAATCGACAGGCCGATCGATGTATTACTTGTGCTGTGATTTATAGAAATCTGTGCAGGATGTTGCAGAACAAGCAGTTCCTCATAATAATAATAATAATAATAATTGGCTGCCAAGTTTCGCCCACAAAATATACTCAATTCACATTACAGTATATTCTGTGAAGCGCTTTGGGAAGTCTCGAAGACGTGATGAAGCGCTGTATCAAATGCAAATATTATATTATTATTAATTATCCTTGCGTTTGATATAGCGCCTGATCGCGGTTCTTGAGACGTCTCCAAGCGCCTCACAGGTGAGTTGACCATCGTGCGACCCGCGTAGAACGGAACGCCCCATGTCATTTTGGCCTTTAAAAAAAATACGCGGGCAAGCGGGCAGGCAAAAGAAGTCGGATGGTCGCGGTTTTGAGCCGACAGCGGTTGGAGAAGGGCAGCAGCGGGCCAGCCTCGACCCTTGGCTTTGGGATGCAAAGACGGTAGATTTTTGTTTCGATGGTTTACTGCGTCGTTCAGGTTAGATCTCGGAATGCGCTTCCTTCTGAAACCGTGACAACAGCTGTTGACGGCGACCAGAGTCAAGTGACCCGACTTGAAAAGTGCCCCCACATCGAAAGCTGGGACACCGTTGAAGGGAACGGTCTCGCGATTCCATGAAGCCGTTCGCTTGTTTAAAAACAAGCTCCAGATTTCTTCGGTTTCCTGTATTCGAAGGAGGAGAAAAGGCAAGCCATGGTTCCTCCCACCTTTTGCCATACCGATCGCAATGCTTTCTGCCCCTGAACCTGTTTTGGGGAGTTGCTATCCGGCCTGTCATCCTCTCCCAAGCCCCAGGACTCTTCTGTCAAAGAGTTGGAATTTGTTTTCAAATTGGTCTCAAAAACAAGCTCTGGCTCCAACCCTCGATCCCGCTGGTTAACTAACACCTAGGTAATGCTAGCAAGTCACGCTTAATTCAGCATCTCTGCCCCCACACTCTGGAACTCTATCCCGCAATCCCTCCGCCTCTATCCCGCAAGTCCTTCCTCTTCAAACCATGCCTTCGGCTGCCCTCCCACCCCTTGCCCTCCACCCCTCCTGACCCCAACTCGGATCCCAAACCATGATTGTCCGGCACCCTGGAACATCTTTGACGCGAAGGGCGCTAGCAAAGTAATTTGTGGTGGTTGCTGTTAATTCTTGCAGTTTGCAAATTCTTGAAAAAACAATCTCAGAATATTCCCACCCTCATTTACCCCCTTTGCATTCACTGAATCATAGAAATTTAAGAGAAACAAATGGAAAAGGCAGCCATTCAGCCCACAAACTCTGCACTATCTCTCAAAGTCTCCTCTCCCACTGCATTCAATCCCATTGACCTACTTTATCCACAAAGCTTCAAGCCTCCCTCTCCCCTCGCCACCATGTACCCGCATAACCCGCTTTTATACTATAATCCTTACATTTGATACAGCGTCTTATCACGTCTTCGATACGTCTCAAAGCGTTTCACAGGATACACTGTAAAGTGAATTGACTGTATACTATGTGGACAAAATCCAGCAGCCAATTGCACATTGTTATTAGATCAGTGCTCAGGAGTCCTGTAGCTCAGTGGTTAGAGCACTCGCCTCACAAACGAGAGGACCTGGGTTCGATTCACAGGCGGGCAGGGTAAGTTTCCTTACTCCACATGTCTCTGTTTACCTAGCAGTAAGTAGGAACCCAGTTGTTAGTCAACTGGCGGATCCCTTTTCCGTTGGCAATAATCCCTTTAATTTTTTTAATAAATTGGTCACTTCAATTCATGACTGTTTGTGGGACGCTGCTGTGTGCAATTGGCTGCCGCATTTCGCCCACAAATATACAGTCAATTCACTTTACAGTATATCCTGTGAAGTGCTTTGAGACGTCTCGAAGACGTGAAAGGCGCTCTATAAATGCAATCTTGTTGTTGTTGTTGATAAGGCGCTGTATCAAATGCAAGGATTATTATTATAATTATCATTCACCCTACCTGAATGTCTTGGAGGCAAATCTCATGCGCTTCCAAAGAACACTGAAGACGTGGCTCCAGCAGCTTCTTGAGGTTTCCGACGGGCTCATTGATATCGATTGACTGGCTCACAAACTCTGCCGTAGTGATGGTGGTCTGTTCCTCAATGCTGAAAGCAAAACAAGTAGCAACAAATACAATTAATGCCGGGTTTGCTTCTATATCAAATCAATAAATGAAGCTTTTAGCATACATTGTTTCTAAAAATGACAATTTTCAATTATTAAACTGGGAGCAACAAACAAATACTGCTATTATGGTTGGCCTCTCACCTCAGAAGGTTGTGGATTTAAGCACCCAGTTGGGTCTCGAGTCTCCTCACCAGCAAGCCCCACGAATTTGTTATTCGTTTCATCACTAGCTGGAATGTCATCAAAGACTTAGCGCTCCAAATCCCAATACAAGGGGTTGAACACATAACCTTCCAACCCAGAGGTGAGTGTCCCACTCAAGGAGTCAACTGATACCTATATTAGCTTGGCTCACCTTCGCCCGGGTCCATTGGCTCCCCATGCCCCAGATAAGAGTTGAAAATCTCGCCCTCGCCTTCAAGGCCCTCCACGGCTTTTCTCCTTCCTACCTGTGATCTGCTAACCCACATCAACTTGCCTGCTCCCTCTGCTCAGCAAGCTCCGGCCTGCTCCATTGGCAGTCAGGCTTTCAGCCTCTCTTGCCTCCTTTAAGGCCCGTCTCAAGACTCTCCTCTTTGACCGCGTCTACGGCCACCCTCCTTCCTGCCTGATCCCAACCTGCAGCCCGGGTCCAAACCCCTGACAGTCCAACACCTTACGACATGACGTGAAAGACTCTATACAAATTGTAATTTCTTGCTGTAGTTATATATTCTGAAAGAGTGAGGGAGAGAAAGTTACCTTTCCTCTGTACAATGCCTCTTCTCCTCACCATCTATTCCTATTTCAATCAACTCCTCTGCTGCTCGCTTCGTCATGGCTGCAGAGTCTGATGCTTCCAATCTGTAGAAACAAAACAAGTAGTAAAATAATCACAGGTTGCGAAGTACACATTGACCAATCAGCAGCGTCCCACAAACAGAAGTGGATTGAGTGACCAGTTTATTATTATTATTTTAAGGAATTATTACCCCCGGAAAAGTGATCCGCCAATCGACTAACAACCGGGTTCCTACTGACCTTCAGGCTTCCTGGCCCCAGCTTTTTGAACTCTATCCCACAATCCCATTGCCTCGCCCATCCTTTGCCTCCTTTTAAGACCCGTCTCAAGACCTTCTACTTCGACCGCGCCTTCGGTGAACCTCCTACCCCCACCCTCCAGCAATCCAGCTTCTGATCCCAACCCCAAGCTCGGGTCCAAATCCTTGACTGTCCAGCGCCTTGAGACGTTCTCCGATGTGAACGGCGCTGTGTAAATGTAATTTGTTGCTGCTGTTGTTCTAAACTTTTTTAGATCTGTTATTGTGATTGTTGGGCAAGTTATATTTATGCCCCTCGTTTCAAATATTTGATTTCCCAGCATTAACATCCTCAATCTTAACCTACATTGAAAATAATTCAGATGTGCCTTTTTAAAAATTCCTGTTCAGACATTTCATAATTTTAAAAGCATAGGTTTAAGATAGAACACATTACATTTTAACATAGAAGGAAGCATTTTAAGCATTGCTTTTTTTGGTATATAAGAATGATAAGTGATCACACTAATACACGATTGTGTGAAAAGTCTGAATGAGCTATAGTGATATAGTACAGCAACCCACACTCTCCTCTAACTAAGCTTTAAGCTTCTACCCAACAAATATTTGGATCTTGTTTGTCTTCCTGTCCTTTTCTGGTGCATTCATCCACACAAAGGGTGTACTCATGTGGGGGGGTGGTGGGGGGTAGGTGTAGGTGGGTGGAGTTATCAATGCTTCCCAGGACAGTTAAGGATATCGACAACAACTTGCATTTATATAGCGCCCTTCACGTGGGGGTAGTGTCCCGGAGCGCTTCGAAGGTGGAATAGTTCAGGTGCGCAAAGAGGTCGAGATGCAA